CCTGCTTTTACAATTAGTATGCGATGAAGTCTGGCTCTTTGTTAGAGGTTTGAGTACTTGCAGTTTTATATTCTGTACGCGTTGAGTTCATTGTTGTCCTTAAATTTTTATTTGTAGCCAAACTTCTCTGCTGCTCCTGTCACACAACCTCCTATGAGATCTTTTGTTCCTCACACTCCTCCAGCGCTAAGAAATGTCGAGCAATATCAGCAGCCAACATTGGGTTCTCAGTTGTATCCTGTCAGTCGATCCTTTTAATTTCACATCTCTTTTTGACAGTTGTCCATTGGCTGCTAGTTGATTAAACGCATTACTTCTCTATATCTCAGGCAGCCACCAATCCACCATACCAACCTGCACCCCCTGCCACGTCTCAATTGGGTTTGGTTCATGGCCAGAAGTTGCCACAGGTTGTGGCGCCAACTCCAAATCCAAGGGGATTCGCCCCAGTCTCCAGTTCTGGTGTTGCACAAAGGCCTGGAGTTGGATCAATTCAGCCTCCCAGTCCCCCTCAGGCGGCTCCTGCACAGCCAGCTCCAGCACCAGCTGCACCACCTCCAACTGTGCAAACAGCTGATACTTCAAATGTGCCTGGTAAAAGTTTCTTTTCAGTTGGAAATTTTGCATTTATTCTGAAGGATTTATAAATTATATTTTTTTCACTAATGAGTAGAACATATTGCTAGTTTTTCATTTGATTTGTTTACCCACAGCATCCACTACTACTGTTTTGGTTAGTTATGGGAGCACCCTGATTTGAGAGTGTAAATTGCGCACATGTGCGCATGTCCATGCATGTGTGCTGAGCATAAAAAGTCACGAAAGGAATTTATGGCCAAGCAGTTTTAATTTAAGAATGGCTGGGCGATACTGTATGTTCTAATGATTCATTTCCCACTTTCTAATTGGTTTTTCTGGATCTTTTTTTGTATAGTTCCGGAATTATTGCAATCGAAATGTTTGAATGCCTTTTTTTATTTGTTCTTTATTTTCTTAGAGAATGACCTGTACAACAACTTTGAAGAACTGATTTTGTAATTTTTTTCTTCTCAATTTTGTTCAAATTACATGTATGCAAATAATAGTGCATGCATTTTTGTTGAGATTAGTTACAATTCTTGATGTACTGGGCTTTTAGTTGTGTGTAACCTTTTGTGAATCGTGCCTATTTGTTTCCTTTTCTAGCCAATCTATTTTCTTAGACCACTCCAAATGATCTGCCTGTTTATTATGTGCAGTTTTACTTTTCCCTCGTCTGTGTAAGCAACCAAAGTCTTAAATTACCTCATATTGATATTTGTTTTGTTGATAAAGGTATTTGTCTTTCTATATATTTTGGTAATTTCCTTTTGGTTAACGTTTTCCTTACTTCGACTGTGGGTCAGTGCACCAAAAGCCCATTGTCATAACGTTGACAAGGCTTTTCAACGAGACATCAGAAGCACTTGGAGGTTCACGTGCAAATCCAGCTAAAAAGCGGGAGATAGAAGACAACTCAAAGAGAATCGGAGGATTATTTGCCAAATTGAACAGTGGGGACATCTCTAAAAATGCCGCAGATAAGCTCCTTCAGCTGTGTCAGGCATTAGACAAAGGCGATTTCACTACGGCCCTACAAATTCAGGTTAAATTAATTTAAGATTAATATATTGACTGTATTCTGATGACGACACCAATCAAATTTAATATACAATGTGGCTGTCTCTGTTGTATTGCAGGTGCTACTTACTACAACCGAATGGGATGAATGCCAGTCCTGGCTAGGTTCACTGAAGCGAATGATCAAGACAAGACAGAGTGTGAGATAAATTAAAGAGATAATACCAATCCTCCTCCTCCTGTTCCCATATTGAAAAATTTTTCACATGGTCAGCTTCTTGCAGTGCTGCTGACCCCTTCATCCATGTACACAAGATTGCCTTGTATCCTGCAGGTGCAGGGTTTTGGTTCTTCCGCTCTAGGACAATACCTTACAGTGTCCTCGCTTTCACTGGGTTTATTATTCAGGACATGGTCAGAAACGTTTTTAGCAGACTTTTCAATCCTATATTTGTAGTATGGAAGTGCCTTTTTTTGTTTGATTTTGCATTTTAGCCTGCTTTGAAAGTCATAGATCGTTTAATCTTACACATATTTTGTACTTTGAGTTGATTTTAACTCAATCTTTGTAACATGAAGTGTCGCATTTATTAGTTGTTGATTATTGATTTGGTTGCCGTTGAATTGAATAATGTCTCATTCGTTTCTAAGTTTGAAAGATAAGTTGTACAGTTTATTGCTTACATTGTGGTTTTTTAACCCCCCCCCCCAAAAAAAAAACAGTAGCCAGGTTTTATTTTAGAAAGTGCGTATGTAGATTGATCACGAGTTTTTCTTCTCTGGTTGATTGTTACTAGATGAGGAGTAATATTAGATGTTCTACATTATATAAAATATTTAGATGTTCTGCATTATGCGAGTTTAGAAGTGTCTTGGAATGTATTTGTATATTATTTTGTGGTGTAATTTTGTTTCTAGTATATATTAAAAATAGAATAATTTCATCCCAAAAAAAGCTTCCCTCTAAACAGTAATTTCAATCCAGCCTAGTCATGATTATTCCTCCACAATTACCATGCCGATGGCGCTCTCAAACTTTCATGTTCTATGGAGGGCTTCCTCCATCTGTGCCGGCAAATGCTTGTTATTACAAGGGCTGCGTAAAGAGTGGATTGAACCAGGTTAGATATCAACCTAAACCCTGATTCGAAGTATGATCGGGCTAAAAAATTTGATGCAAGGACTGATCCAGTGTGGTTAGGCCCAAGACGAAGACCGGGTTGGATTTAGTTCACCGGGTTATTGGACCGGTCTAGGTTGCTTCGCCATTCATGTACTTTTTTTGGAAAAAAATTGATAGCTATTTTTTTTCCCAATTAGACTATACAATCATCTCATATATATACAAAATAAATCACCTAAATCTGAAAATAAAATAACAATGATAAAAAATAATTAAATGAAAAGGAAGAATTAGGTTAAAAAAATAATATAAAATTAAAGAAAATAAATATAGGTACCAGTCGAAAAAGACCACCTGGCTAAAGAGTTAGATTAGAACCCGATCTAACTTGATATCCAACTTAGTCCAGTTTCGTCTGGATTTATATTTAGGCTGTTTTTTTCTAAGCTGAACTAGACCGGGTTTCTTCGAACTGAAATGGGCTTCTCTAGATCGAAATTTTTTGAACAGCCCTAATTATTACTAATAATCCAAAAACTGACATTCCTTATTACAGGTTTTCTCTATTTGTTGGGCCAGCTACAGGTTTTCTCTAATTACTATGTTAATGTTGTTTCTTTACCTTCCTTTCTAAGTTTTCTGCAGCATTTTATTTGCTCTATTGTAACTTATAAACCTTTACTCCTAAAAAAAACCCACTTCAAAAGAATAAAGGAATTTAGTTAACTTAGGTAATGATATTAAATATTCCAAAAATTTGTATCCTTTTTCCAGTATCAATCACTTTGAAAAATTATTGAGTAGATTCTTTCTACCTAATTAATGTGTGTTTGTAAATTGAAGTTGGAATAAAAATAAATTAGTGTAATTTGATTTATGTTTAGATAAGTTTTTATTTAAAAAAACATCAGTTTGACATAAGTTTTTACTAATGCTGGATTCTCATGCTATATTTTGATTGTAATAGAGAGGAATTTACATTCTTGTCGCACCAATGGATTTGAGACGTAGTAAAGGGTGTTTGGCAACTTTTAAACCATGGTTTCAAAAGCACTTTTTCACAAAACGAGGCAAATTCCTCTACATATTTACTTCGTAAACCGTAAAAACACTTTTGAAACCATGGTTTGGTTTCTATCCAAACACTCCCGTAATCTTGGGCAACTTAGAAGATCAATGTTTGGACTACCTCTGTGCGTAATATAAAAAATAGTGAGAGATTAGATTTTTTCTGTTAAATATAAAATTTCAATTTGATAGTATTTTTTTTTAAAATAGGGAGAATTCCTGAGATAGTTCCAATATAGTAGTATTTAAAAAGATTAAAATGCATTGCAGATATTAATTAATTACATTTGTTTGTATAAGGTTTTTTAATACTGCTTGTTTGTATAAGTTAGTTAAAAATATTCCTTAGCTTGGGTCGGGTATCCTTGTATATAACTAAAGAAAGTAGTTTAAAAAAATCAAGTCATATTAATTACTATTAACTAATTTTTTAGTCTCCCCGAATTACCTTGTATATAACTAAAGAAAGTAATTTAAAAAAATCAAGTCATATTAATTATAATTAACTAATTTTTTAGTCTCCCCGAATTAATTATTTAATTTTTTTTTTCTACGCATGGTTTGTTTCTATTGAACGCCTATTCTCCTCAAATACTAAACGCGGATTAAGGAAGGACATGAGGTAGTACTTTTGTAATCAAATGTAACGTTAGAATATTGCCTAATTTTAATTGGTATGAAACCATTAATTTTTTTAAATTAAACAAAAATAAAATTAAAAGACTGAAATACATCCCAACAAACAGTAACATTAGAATTTACAAATTTAGGGGTGACCGCCGGTGGCTTGTGGCAGCTAAAGGTGGGGCAAGAGAAATTGTTCAAAAAAGTTATATTATTAAGTCTCAACTTAATTACAATCCACATTCAAAACCTTGTTTAAAAACTAGTTTGACTTTTATTTTAATCCATAGTTTGACTTTTATTTTAATCCTAATTATAAGATTTCAATCCATATTATCTCTCATATTTATTTATTTATTTTTTTCAAGATAATCTTTTTAATAATGGTAGTTCTAGCCAATACGTTTAATTATTAAAAATATTTTAACGTTTGATTAGTAAAGATATTTTAAGAAAAACAACACCTATTTATTACAAATAACTAAATTTACTTATTTTCTTAATATCCTGAAATTGAAATTAGTCAACTGAGCTAGTATAATTAAACTAACTTCAAATCTACAAATTAAAAGAAGTGAGATTAATAACAAAACATATATATTATATTCATAGAATAAAATACCACCATTGTTTAGTTTAATATTAACATGTCACAACCAGATTGCGCACTTCGAAGTTGACATTACCGACTTTATCGAGAAAGACTACTTTCGAATCAACTTATTGGCCTTATGCTATGTCTCAGTATAGAAGATGATACCAAAGATTTGTTTTTGAGTATTATTTTTGTTCATTCAGCTGAGCGGCGGTGGCCATGGAACACCCTACTCCGCCGGGTGTGGTTAGCATCTCCGGCGAGTCCCTCCGCCACGGAAACTGCATCTCCGCTGCATACACAGCTTCTGCATCTTCCTTCGTCACCGGCTTGTCCGCCGCCAGCTTCTCCGTTGCATCCTATGTTTCAAAATTGCATCATAAATCTCAGAGGATTCAAATTTAAAAAAAAGAAAATGGTAAAATATTAATAAATCGTACATATGTTCGATCAAATGTAATTATTGATATAATGTCCAAGAAATCAAGAGGGTGTGTGTGTGTGTGTATCAAATCTTTGTTTTATAAGTAGAATTATATTTTTACCATTAAAACGTCGGAGAGCTTAGTCATATCTTCCCGGCGTCTGGCATGAGTGTTCATAGAGGCTGCGTTCTGAGCTGTATCAGCCACACCGCCGGGGACAACTCGGTTGTTTCCTGTTGCTCTAATCTCGGCCACCGTGATAGCGGCAGCATCACTCTGATCCACCGGTTTATCGCCGGCGGAAATGGCCACCGCCTCAAGCGCCTCACCAATGGAGATGGGGTCCCCATCTATGGCAGCCGATCCAATAGTAGAAGCCACGGTGGGGCCGTCCTGCTCCACATGCTGCCCCAGAACCTGGCCCCCGACCGCCTCTGTGATGATACGCTGACCCCCGGCCTTCGTTTCAGTCACCGACACGCCTTGGTTCTTGGCAATGTCAGTGAAGTCTTGGTGTTCGACATGGCCGGCCATCTCGTTGATGACGGCAGCGGACTCCATGGTGTCGGCCGGAGTTCCCTTGTGGGTTTTTCCCAAGACTTGGACCTCGGCGGCTTGCATGGCGGCTGCATCTTGAGGGGAGATAGGCTTGGATGCTAAGTCGCCGGAAACCCTGAAAACGTCGCCGTATGTGATGGGTTGTTGGAGCTGAGAAACTGGGGAGAGGCAGTGGTCCTCGTCATCAGATTGAGGCCCGAGTGGTTGACCGTGACTCATTTTCGGAGATGGATATCAGAATTCAGGGTGTTACATTTAGGGTTTTGGAGGAGAAGATGAGGTAATAAAGGAGGAGGAGAAAGATTGATGCATGCAAAAGTCGACGTGTTGAATCGTTGAAGGTGGCGCTGTCAAATGCTTCCACCTCCCTCTTCCCCTTCCTTACACTTGGCTGGATTTGCATTGGGTGCTCATTAGGTGATGAGCACCCATCTGGACCGTCCAAATCTGATCTGGACGGTCCAGATTTATTTTTATTTTTATTTTTATTTTTTTAAAAATAATTATTTTAATAGGTATAGATAAAAATAAAAATAATCTTATAACTATTATTTTTTAAAATATAATTTTTTATATTTTAAAATAATTATTTAATGATATTAAATCTGGACCGTCCAAATTAAATCTGGACGGTCCAGATTGCTCATCACCTGATGAGCACCAAATGGGAACCCCCACTTGGCTTCTTTTGCTGCAATGACTATTCAATATAAAATAGGAGAAATTTCATTTAATTTCACTTCACTCTGGTAATCAAAATTTTTTTATAAGTGAAAAGACAAAAATACCTTTTATTTTTGAAAAAAAAATGCTTGTAGAGTTGGGTTTGTTCTTAGAGTCCTAAAATCGGAGCAATGTTGTCTTTATGTGAAAATCATAAATAAATCCCCTATATAGAGACTAATCTTGACTGAAATACATAAATAAAAAAAAGGTTGTTCATAGGTCACCTTATCTAATCTTTAGCATAAGTGGATTATTTTTTCTTTCATTTGTTAAAGTATATATAATTATTTTTCGAAAGATATATATATTGAATAGGAATAAAATTGAAAAATCATTATACTGTAAGGGAGAGTTAGTACAGGTTTAAATTTTTAAAACATGCTGTGAATACCCTATAAATAAGACCACAGTTATATAATTTAGTTGAACACTACAGAGTTGCGTGTTCTAGTCAGATTTTTCCACTCAATGATATCAAAAAAAAAAAAAAGCTTCCTATGATTCTTGATTAAAAAAAAATGAAATAGAGGAGAAAATACTAACAGTTTGATGTTGCAAGTAGTTCCAAATCTGCAACCTTTCACGTAGAGAAAAGCTTTAAAAAAAATTTCAATTTTTTAAAATGTTGTACCTTAGTTTTACAGACTCGAAACGTTTTATAGATTAAACATTTTGAGGGTCATTTTTATCAACTCTTCTCATATAACTTGAACAACTTAAAAATCGCTTAAAATAAGTTAATTAGGGACTTGCTACCGTGTAACTGAAGAGAACGGGGCCGAAGCAAGCTACTTGAGCTCAGTTTTGCAAAAAAGAACTTTTCTTCTTTCAGTAAAGGTTGATACACGATATGGACAACTGATTACAAATTAACTGATGTTTTAAAGGGTTCCTATGATGTATGATCTATCAGTATACACTTTTTATACACAGAAGAGTTCAAACTGTGTATCACTGAGATTTGAGTGACAGGTTCCTGAGCTTGGCCCGAGAATTGATGTAAGACCGGATCCTGTCCCAGAGTGTGAAATTGCTATTATTACCTACATATCTAACCATGACTGATTTTTTTGAACCTTCTCTGATAAATTCTAACTCCTTAGCAATGGTGGATTTTGTGTTGTCTGAGTCATCAAGCAGAGGTAGTGAGAAAGAACCTTGAGACTCCAGGTTTTTTATCCACCCACGTAGTAAAAAATCTATGACCTGTTCATAATGGCATTTATTTGGTTAGGTAAACAAAAAGGCAAATAAGGAAGGACCACCACCTAAAGAACAAAACTGAGAGGAATTGTGTGTAACATTAGACATGTTTTCTCGTGTATTATACAGAATTTGATAGCTTGTGAATATATATTTTTCATCCAATTCGGCAATTCCAGTCTACTCTACATGCTAGGCTACTTGACTACTTTGAGCTCAAAAGCAATTAGCACACGACTCTTTCTTTTTATTTAGAAAAAATTTAAAAAGACAGGTACTAATTGCCTGAGGATACAAGTGGAATTGAACACGGAACTTCCCACTTACAAAAGATTTCTCGTGCCACTAAGCTACAAGGCCATTGTCAAAACTCTTTGTATGCATGCTTTATCTCACATAAAATTGATAAACCCCTACATCTACTATTGCTCATCCAGACTACTTAACCAAAGAATGACCCCATCAAAAACTTAACAGAACAGAAAAACCAGCAAAGAGTAGATTTCCTGTTAATTCAGATGATCAGGGCATATCTATGAGTTTCATTCCTCCCAAGTCCTTTCTCTCATGTAAAGATAAGCAAGGTCCCCAAAATAGGGAAATCAGAAAGTATAAGTTGAACATTGGAAATTAATATCACCAAGAGCAGAATACAAATACAGGAACCAATCAAGAAGAAAAACATAAATATGTCAAAGGTGAGTCCCAAAGAAAAGTATGCAGGATATGTTTACGCATCTCTATATAATTGGCTCAATCTGCCTATCTTATATAGAATGTGCAAAAGAAAAACACTTTCAAACTAATTAGCGAGGAATGGTGTACCTCTGGAACTTCATCATGAGGACAATGGCCGGCTGGGCTGATTTGATAATATGGAGCTTCAGGAACCTTCTTTTTAACCTGAAGGCCCCAAATTGGCCTCACCCAGGGATCTTCTTTACCATACATGAGGCAGATCGAGACATTGTTGGCTTGGCATCTAAAATGCAAACATCCTGGAAATCTTTATCTTTGGAACCAAAAATAGAGATAATGATAATGATCAAGAGCAGATGGAGCAGTTTAATGAATAGCAACAACACCTACCTAGATAATGCCTCATTGAAGGATAATTCCGCCTGAGGAGCGCACATAATTGAAGCAAATGATGCAGCAGCAGCTGGATGCCTTGTCGTTTCAATTATTCGCAAAAACACATCATCTACCTTTGTTGAATGATCTGCATAAACCTGCTTAAGTATCTCAGCGATACTTTTTGGATCACTAATTTTCTCCCACCTAAAGATAGACAAGATCAATTTTCCAATTCAAAAGCACGTTTCAAATGGAGGAAAGGATTCCAACACAAAGAAAATCTTGTTCTGGCTCAAAAACAAGAACTCCTAAACCATTCAGAATACTTTTCTATTAAAAGTTCCTCATATGTGAATGGAAATCAAGGTTCTGAGCATGAAACACGGCAACTTAGAAGTTAATTTCTGAAGAAGTCTAAAACAAGTCTTCAAAAAAAGGCACAGGAATGAAGCAATGAATAAGGTGAAGCGATACTCACAACAACTCTGTCAGCCTCTTCACACGTCGGGGTAAAGGAAATGTTCCTGCCCATGGAAATAATTTTGCAATTCCTGGATTTCTCACAGGATTGGGCAAAAACCCCCAAAACGGTGTTGCATTGAGTAATGTGACACCCTTTACTAAATGAGGATTACATGCTGCAAAATACAACGCAACAAATCCTCCCAATGAGTTGCCCACAATATAGACTGGTTCGCCAATTACCTGAAAATCAATTCATGCCATTTCAATACCCAAAAATTAATTTGATGGAATCAATTTCCACAAGCAGATTATTAAAAATAACTAAGACCGAAGCAAAATTATAGAGAACATCTAAGGTCCAACTTTACTTGGTTCGTTATCTGTACTTATCAACACCACGGGTAATTAAGATGATTAAAATCACTTTTGTAATAAAGATACTGAAGAAGAATATCAGCTTTTACGTACTTATTACATTAATCATGGACATAAAAAATAAACCTATAAGCTAGTCATCAAGAGACTGCAGATTCTTACCGCACTAACTTCAAGGCCTTGGAAGAAACACAAGCAGTGCTAGAGAAGTAATTATACAAATTTATTATAGTCTGCGAAAAGTTGAGCAAACCATGCTGTAGTGCAAAACATTAGAGCATTATATGTCCATATCAATTCAACCAAGATAGGAAATTTACTATATTCAGTGAACGCAGTCTCAGAGGAAAATAAATAACAGAAATGGCTGCAAAAATCTTCAAAAGTAACTCAGACATTAGAATCCATTTGAATCAAATGACAACGCACATTGTGCCAATGATATGACAGCATCGATATAAATGAAAGTCAATAACTAGGTAATCTTAACTTTTGGCACAATTTCGACGGGTGTTGTGGCAGAGTAGGTCATAACTGATCAACACGAGATAAGGTCTGACAAGTAGTCCTTCAAACATAAAGAAATGAAAGGAATTTCAAAAAAGAAATAATGAAGAAAAGCCATTAGCTTGGTATGATTTGCAGCAAAGCCATTTGCACGATATGACTTTCATCAATGTTTGCAAAACAATAAACTAGCTGGAACAACTAAAGTTCTATTGTCATCGAATAAAACATGAACGCAGCAAAGAAACCATCGTGTACATAACACAAACCTTTTCTATGAAGTAGCGAACTTGATCCTGCCATAAATCCATGGAGTACACAAGCTTTTCTGCCCATGGTTCAGTTTCATCCCCAAAACCCCACGAAGAACTGTTACAATTAGATGCAGCCCCTGCTTTAGACTGTAGTGTGGGATCTTCAAAAGGCAGTGACATCCCTTGACCAAGAAAATCCAGTGCCCATACTCTAAAATCACGACCCAAATCCTTCATTTGTTTCTCGTAATGGAAAGCACCAACACCAAAACCAGGAAGAAAGAGGATCTGTGGGGATTCCAAATTTTCACACCCGGCCTTTTCATAGTGCACGTTAAACTTTGGCTTCCACTCCCAAAAGCAACTTCTTATCACAGCACCAGATTCCCCTTTTGGCTCATTTGGCAGACCAGGAATGCGAACCTTAGTAGCAGGTTGTTCTATTCCTGAGATATCTCTTACATCTCCTTCACCATCAATCACAAAACCATCATAGCCTCCACTATAAACCTTGGAATTATTTCGTTTAGAGCCTTTAAGAGTATTCAAAAACCTATGACCTCTTTCAATGTTATAGAATCTATAAACGGTGTTATTATCATGGATTGCATGATTTCCAGCAGTGGGAAACCCTAATTGCCGGGAATTGATGCACCTTTCACTCAATTTCAACTTTGAGTTCACTACGTAGCAACATGGTGCCGAAACATAAGATAGAATTTCCATGCCCAAAAACTGTATTCTGTATTAAACAGCCATAGCAACTGAATCAAAACAAATTCAACTCAATTTACAAGAGTAGATACTTTAAAACTTTTTCTCAACGAAATTCAGGACCCTATACAAATAATTATATCAAGGAAGTAAAAAGAACAAAAAGAAATAATCACAGACTCAAGCGATACTGTATCGTTCCAATTTTATCGGAAATCAACCCATACTGAATCAGGAAACAATACATCAATTCGTAGCTTTCAGACGAATTTCAAACGAAATTCATAATGATTAACCGGACACAGTATCAAGTAGCAACAAGAGATCTAAAGAATAAAAAATATACCTTCAAATTAAAGAAAAAAGTAGCATGAGATTCTGCTGTACCCCAGGAGCTCAAGTTCATAAAAATTTATTGGAAGACTCAGGAGAAGGTGGGGAGATATATGTCCACCTACCTTTGCTTGGAAGGTTCTACTTCCTTTACCCCCCGCTTGGATGAGAAGAAAAGTTGGGAGGAAAGAAAATGAAGAGAAGAGAAAACTGAAAGGAAAATATTATCACTCTTCCTGCTTGGATGAGTGAAAGAAAACAGGAAGGAAAGAAAATGTATAAATATCAGAATGACTAAAATGCCCTTATTATAATTAATTGGCAAGAAACTAAATAATTTAGCAAAAAATTATTTTTCTATGTAAAAATAAAAAGGAAATAATTTTTGAACTTAATTAAAATAAAAGGAAATAAATAACTCATACATTATGTAATATTTTAATAAAATGATAAAAATCAAATAAAATTAAAGATCATAATAACATGAGAAATTACCCCTGAGAGTTTTAAAAAAAAAGTGGGGGGGGGGGGAAGATGCAGCCGACTGGATGAATGTGATTACTGGAGCAGCGACGGTGAGAGCTTTTTGGCGCAGGAGAGAAGACGAACGATGCGAGCTTGGCGGGAGGGGCAATGTGGAAATGAATCGAAGCGGTGAAAATCTCTCCACTTGTGGAGAGAAATTTTGAGAGGAAAATGGGGTATGGGACCCACCATATTTTTCTCTCCACTTTTCTTTTCTCTCCTATTTTCTTTCTCATCCAAGCAAGGGAAAAGTCCATTCCTCTCCCATTTTCTATCCCACTTTTCCTTCCTCTCCCATTTTCACTCAATCCAAGCAGACCATTATGAACCAAGGGGAAAGAAAACATTTTTCCAATGAAAATGAAAAATATCTGTAATAATGCCAATCATTCTTTCTTTCTTTTTTGACCAGCAATGCCAATCATTCTGGAGCGGCCTGAAAAATAGATAAATAAAATGTTGTAAAGTGTAACTCCGGAGAAGATAAACTCCACGTGAAAAAATAAACTCCGGAGTAAATAAATTGAATTTATTTATTTTACCCAAAAATGAACTCCACGTGAAACGACGGGGAAGAATGAAAGAGATCTTAAAAAAAAAAAAATTTAATTACCAAAAGATACTATTGAGAAGTGATTAGTTTGAAATTGTTACCATTTCTTATTCTGAAACTTATCATTATCTACTCGTCAATAAATTTTAAATTAATTAAATTCTTTTTTTAGGATCTGAGTGTGACTGTAATTCAACAAGAATCCTAATATTACAATTTCTTTGGTTCTTTTAAAAATATAAATTATTACTTTATTCATATTTCAGTAAATTTAAGGAATCTCAACATACGATTTAGAAAACGCCAAGGTTAGAATTTTTATAATATATTGGTATAATCTACATATTTATGTGTAGTATATGAAATACGTTAAAAATTATTATTTATAAATTATCAATAATATAATTTATTTTAAACTTTTTACAGAGCACAGGCCCATAATCCAATCATACTAAAAATTTAAAAATAATATTAAAAATGCTATATACATAGAAATATTCTTACCCTCCTTTATATTCCTTGACACTTTTTTTTGCCATCATAGTCCTTTACAATTAGAAGAAATACAAAGAAAATCCAAAGAGAGGTGTAATATACTATCTTTGGTACTTAATATAAGACTTGGAGAAATTAAAGAAGTTGTTGGATTACTTTAAAATATTTATATTTATCATTTTTTAAACTAAAATATGTCTTATTTGTAAATTGATATATAATCTAATGATAGACATAAGTATTTTAGAAAAATCATTAGGATATGTTATAATTAACTATTTAGCAACTTTTTTTAATTTTCTCAAAATAATTAATTAAGTCTTATATTAAAAACTGGATGCAATGATATACTACCATCAGTCTTTAATACAAGAATTAATTGACTAATTTGAATAGATTAAAAAAATTATTGAAGTTAATTATTTGTAATAAATATGTATTGTCTTTTCTGAAATATCTCTCCTAATCAAGTATATTGGTTAGAACTACTATTATGACAAGGACTAATTTAAAAATAAATAAATAAATATGATAGACAAAATAAATTAAAATCTTATATTTGATAGAAAAATAAAAGTCAAACAGAATCTTATACTACCTCCGGTCCTTAAGATAAGACCTTGTTTGACTTTTATTTTGATCCTAAATATAAGACCCCAATCCACTTTGTCTCTCATATTTATATATTTTTTTCCAAAGTAGCCCTTCTAGTAATGATAGTTCTAATCAATACACTTAATTAGCAAGGATATTTTAGGAAAGACAATACCTATTTAAGACAAATAACTAACTCAACTTACTTTCTTAATCTCCTCAAATTAGTCAATTACCTCTTATAATTAGGACCGGAGGTAGTATTAAAAACCATCGTGGTAGGTCATGTGAATTACTATTGGGCAACCGCTACCTTCTGCCATTGTTTCCATATGCTCCAGTGATCAATTAAAATTGGATATTTATGAATAAAAAAATAAAACGTGAAAGAATTGAAAATGAAAAACGGCGACAACAATATTGATAAATGGATACGCACGCATATATATATATATATATATATATATATATATATAAATGAATCATAATAATAAGAGGTGTCAGGTCAAAAAAATAATAATAATAATAAGAGGTGAGAGGGAGTTAACGTGAATGATTTGGCTTTAGTTTGCGTAGGGGGATGAACGACATGGAGAGGCACTCTGTCGTTTTGTGCTCTGTGCTGCTGTGTTCTCACTTCTGCTGCACCCACCTCACGACTCTCTTGTCGTTTTGATGGCGACGGACGCTGATGTCCTGCTTCATTTTTCTAATGTCTTAAAATACCATAATCATCTTTCTTAATATCTCATCTTCCTCTTCTACTTGATTATGGTTGAAGAGTATCCATAGGGATAAAGTTAATTATAAGAAATGTGACGCGTTTTTCCTAAAATACCATAATCATCTTTCTTAATATCTCATCTTCCTCTTCTACTTGATTATGGTTAAAGAGTATCCATAGGGGTAATTTAGTGAAAATTGATAAATATGAGAAATAAATCTTATATTTAGAACCAAAACCAACTCACTAATTGGGTCCTATATTAAGGACCGGAAGAGTGCTTAGTAAGCCATTTCTGTTCATGAAGCTAAGTTGTTAAAGCTCATCTCTTCGCATACAAACTTATAGTTGGCCTGGACCATAAGCTCGCATGATTTCTTCCTTTTAGTTTTATAAGTTGTAATATCAAAGGTCCAAATTTTAATTCACCAAAGAATAAATAAGAATATAGCACAAAGAACAAATATCTCTAATATCGAAAGTGTCAAGAAAATATTTTATACATATATATATATATATATATATATATATATAAGCAGGCTTACAAGCTAGCTTATTGATTGTACTCCCAGCTTTATTCAAGAGATTTTTCTTTTTTATTTTTAATTACTAACCAGCTTAGTTCAATTATCCTGCGGCATTGTATTTGTTAATATATTTATTGACACTTGTTTTTGTTAGTACATAAAATTGTCTCCTCCATTATATCAGCCATTTTTAAATTTACTTAGAGGACAATACATCAATATACTAATTTTATCCTCTTTTTTTTTTTTTGCCCAACAATATTTATAATTTTATGTGCTGGATATGAAACATCCATGCAACGCACAGAGCAATGGGGATGCCTTTAGTTTATATAGAATTCAAGAAACTATGGATCTCATGTGATTAAACTTAATAAAAAGAATAATAGAACACAAAACAGAGGAGGGATTTGTGATGAGAACTGATGTGTTTCTCTGACAACTTAGCAAAAACAATACAAAGCAATCATGTGTGTGTGTATAAAGCGTATAATTAGAGTAAAATATAACTCGTGATTATTTCCATGCTGTCTTTATTTAATTAAAACAAACCACATATGTATTTTTATATGTTCTATGAAATTTGATTTAAATTACGTTGTCAGTAATTTATAAATAATATAGAGGATATTAAATTAATTTTGTATTTTATACTCATTGTAGTCCCAAATAAGAGGAGCTAGATGACTACTCTTAATTAATTTTTCCTGACATTCTCTTTCATTATTTTTTTATTATTACTCTCTTTTATTTACCTACTTATAGGTAAGAGCATATTAAAAATAAGTATACTTGTTAAATATTTATAATAAATAGATGCGTATTAGTTCGGTTGAGATGGCTTACCAAGTCATCTATTTTGTTTTTTGTTTTTCTCAAAATGCTTACCGTCTCAACTAACAATTTATTAATAGTTAAAATATTATTTTTAATCATTTATATGGAATATTACTTTTTTCCTTTGGTGAAAAACTCGTTAATTTAAAAATTGGTTTATATAAATTTTGATCACTGAAATTTGGGTCTATTTTGATTTTAGTCTTTTAAATTTAAACACAGTTTTAACTCTTGAAATTTAGTCCCTCTTAAAACCTTGGTTCCTAGAAGTGTCACAATATCAAAATATACTAAAGTGCCATAAGCAATGTTATAGTGATGTGGACTTACTATATGATATGTAGCTAAATTTTATGTGGATAACAAGGGGAGAAAAAACACGTCATCAAAATCAAGTTGTTTTGTCCCTTGTTTTTTCTTCTTTATTATTTGTTTCAAGAGCATAAGATCTAGTTAGATGTCATCAGATAAGTTAACATCACCACCTTTAATATCATTAGTTACACTTCAGCAAATTTTAATATCATTACACTTTTAAATATTAACGTTTTAAGATAGATTGAATTCCAATGATAAAATTGCTGACTTGAAATTTGAGAAAACAAAATCAAAATAAGTTAAAATTTTAGGGAATAAAAATTATATAAACCTTTTATGAATTAAATAAACAAATATATTGAATAATCATATGTAGAATCAACACAAACCTCCATTTAGGTGATTTTTACAGTGTTATGCCCGGCCGCCGAAGTATATAGGGAAAATTTTGTTTAAGGACCGCAGTACAGAATTAATTTCAAAAAGCCCCCAAAACCTTCTGAAACTTCACTACAGGACTAAGAGGACAAACTGATATTAATTTCACAAAGAAAATGATGCTATCGCCCCTTATAATAAATGTAGGAGAGCCTATTTGCAAGTAGAACTAGACAATTTGTAACATACATATATATTTACAACTAGAATTAGTTCATTTACATATCACCTCCTTCACCTGAAGAAGGTATCTATGAGTAAAGTGTGGAAGAGCCCATTTGCAAGTGGGACTAAACAATTTGCTACATATTTTATTTACAATTGGAATTAGTTCATTTACATGTCACCTCCTTTACCTAAAAAAGGTATCCATGAGTGAAGAAGTGTAGGAGAACCCATTTACAAGTGAGACTAGATAATTTGCAACATACATACCTTTATTTACAACTAGAATTAGTCCATTTACATGTCACCCCGTAATAGGTATTATGAGGGGCAATAATATCATTTTCTTTGTGGAATTAATATCAGTTTGTCATCTCAATCCTACGGTGAAGTTTTAAAAAGTTTTGAGGACTCCTTGAAATTAATTGTGTACTGAGGTCCTTAAATAAAATTTTTCCAAGTATATATGTTTATTATCCCAGATTGATTGAGAACGTGTGCGTTTCCCGTAAATAATCACTGGATTTTTGTCCCCTTTGACTCCAACGCTGTAGTTTATTATACCAGATTCGTTGAGAATGTGTGCGTTTCCCGTAAATAATCACTAGACTTTTGTCCCCTTCGACTCCAACGCTATAGTAATCTCCACCACTGAAGAATGATGATGATGAAGACGCATAACATTGGCTCTTTTGCTTTATGTTTATGCGCTAAACCTAACTCATTCATAAAATCATCCTCATTCCTTGTGACTCTCAGCTACGAGGTATTGGAATTTATGCTCCAATTCAGCCCACACCCCAAGATTTATGCGAATTCCTCTGGATTTTTTTTTTGCCCAGTCCTATCCGTTTTGCCTATTTCTTCCGATTCTTCATTGAATTTTCTTCTCTGGTATACATGATCGACCTGTCGTCTTCCCCACTTGAGCTCTGATTCTCGCTCGCCTTTCATCCTCAGATTCGCCTTTTTACTTTTGATTCTGCGTTATTGTGCAGAGAACCTATTGTGGGTATTCCCTAATTCGCCCAATTGAGTTGTTTTCCGAATCTCAGCTTTCCGGATTCACTCATATTTACTGTGGAAGATTTAGGTAGAGGCGTGAAGCACAGTGTTTGGCTTTGGTTCCATCTTCTTTGATGAATTTGGCCCGGTTAGCATATGCTCTAGAATTATTCTCCTAGATGCCTTTGCTTCAATTTGACATTAAAGGGATTCATGTCAGAGTCATTTGTTACATTGCGTTTTCAGTTCATACTTCAATACTTCATGGTGATTGTTAATATTCAAAGATTGGATGTTGTACTGTGCATATGTTCTTCTATTGATGGGCTTTGATTAACTTTCCTTCAAAGTGGAGAAAGAAAACATGGATGATGGAGATATTCAGCTTTCAGATAATGCTATGCTGTTGAATACAGAATCATCCAGTGATTTCCAGGCGCTAACATCCATGAACATGATGAATGGATCATTCACCAAGACCATGACTTGCACACACACACACACTTGTAACCCTCCCGGCCCAAATGCTGTACATACACACACTTGCTATCACACTCACACACAAGTTTTTGCACCAGAACCAGATGACAAAGAGCATACCAAATCAAAGGCAAGAAGGCCTTCAACTAACAGAGAAGCAGTTAGAAAGTATAGGGAGAAGAAGAAGGCGCACACAGCTTATCTGGAGGAGGAAGTCAAGAGATTGCATCTGCAGCATGTGCAACTAGTCAGGAAACTGCAGAAGCAGGCGATTCTTGAGGCCGAGTTATCAAGGTTGAGAAGCATTTTGATAGATCTTAGGAGGAAAATTGACAATGAATTAGGTGTTTTCCCTTATAAGCAGTGTGCCTCTTATGGTCAGACCAATTTCCCATGCTTCAATAGTCCGCATGTAGGATCATCATCTCAAGTTGCCATATGTGGAAATGGAAAATTTGCTTCTCGACGGGAAGGAAATTGTCAACCTGCCATAGATTGTCAAGTAAACGTAGATAACAAGGCAAGCACTGAAGAAGAAGAAGAAAGCATTGAAGGCGATGGATAACTTGATGTCATCATCATCTCAAGCTGAGTGATTAGCTAGACAAGTATGTTCTGAGCTTCTTTCTTATACTTTGTTAGATTCTCATTCTCATTCTGCTTGGAATGGTGAAGTGAGGTCAGGTGTATCACTGGTTTTTAGCGAGTCTGAAAGGCTTTTGAAGTTACTTGGCTAGACCTCTGGTATAGTTTTATTTCTATGGGCAAAGTAGTTTTGGAAGTTGTATATTACAGCAGCTTTGTAATTGAAAGAAGAGTATAGATTTTTCTTTTTATAAGAAATTTCTTTTGAATATGTCAGGTTTTTTATGGTGAAGAAACTGATTAAATCTCATATTTCACTGCTTTTCTTATATCAGAATTCCTGTCAATTCTAGGAACCCAGAATCTGCTAGTTCATTTTCTTGTTCTTGCGCATAGTTATCTGACAAGACTCAGATTGTTCTCCTTAATCATTTACAAATTCATGTAGAGCTATGTAATTTGCAGCATAAATCTTGTTATTGCGTTGATGTACTGTTTCTTATTCCTTTTTTGATCTCAGAAGCACAGTCCATTAGCTTTGGTGGCCATGAGAAATTCAGAAATTCATGTGCCTTGTCAAAGTAGAACTGAACCAAGTCCCGTTTGCTGCTATAACTTGATTCTTACAGCTTCTTATCTGATTCTTCTCTTGTATTTGTCTCGGAGCAGAAGAAGGCGTTATAATTCTTGAGAACTAAGGCATACACCCACCAAGGACTTGTCTCCTTATGTTTGGATAGAGGACTGGGAAAGGAAATATTTTATTTAGGGATAAGGAAACATTTGGTCCTCAAGCTTGCCTCGCTTATTGATTTGGTCCCTAAAATCTAATTTTTATCAATTAGGTCCCTAAAGTCTCATAATCATGTATGATTAGTCCTTATGGTATGAGAACATATAATTATAGGCACACATGTGGTGTAGCCTTTAACTCAAGCATGTCAATCTCTTCATCGATTGCAGAAAAAAATTGTTGGTCTAATTAGATCAAACAACAATTTGAAATAATGAGTAAAATTTTATAGATTTAATTAATAAAACACTGTCAGAGCATTATTGGACGTGGACATCTCTTCTAATATGGATTTAAATTTTGATTTGTCATATTATGAGAAGGTAACCCTTTCTATTAGACTTAATTAAAGACAATTGAAGACAAATAATAAATTCAGAGTTATACTAATGAAAGATCCAATACTTCCCGAAAATACTGGTATCCATTGGATTGGACCCATCAAATAATAATGATGATGATGATAAGGAATTTGTTTCATTGATCTCTTGAGCACATGGATGTCCCTGCCATATCTTTTTCTAATTCGGTCCTCCATTCTCTACGTATTTTTGGGGTCCTTTTTTATTTTTCTTTTTCTTTTGCTTTTTTTTTTTTGTTTTTTTTGCCAATTTTGTTGCACATTTTTGGGACTATATGAAGAAATTTTTTGTTATATGAAATTAGATAATCCCGTGTAAATGGAATTGGGGAATATCACTTTCCTCTATGTTATTACTCAATCTCACATAATGGATTTGCTTAATTCCAAATAACAAGTAATTATTCATATTAAATACCCTTTTAATATATTTTTTTAATCATTGCCCCTCATTTTTATAATCTCGTACCAAACGGCATTTAAATATAAATACTTCTTTTAATAAGAATTTGAATATTGATTTGATATGTGCAGCTAGTTCGTTGAATCCAAGCCAATGTTTTCTTTTTGGTATAAAAAAGTTTAGATGAGTTGGGTTCTAAAAGCTCACTAAGACAAGGACATGCTTCCAGGCTAAAAGAGCGCTTACAGAGATACTTATAGATCACTCACCAACAAAATCCTCATATGGACAGCAGGATTCAAACTCATGACCTTTTGGGTTATGAGTCGACTCCTTACTAACTAGACCAACTCTTATTGATAACCCAAGTCCCAAGCCAATGCTGGTGCCTGCAAGTTTATCCTCTTGAAAGTTGAAACTCCCGTGGCCCGTTAGATGCCTCACGTGCACCCCACCGTGCAAGGCATTCTGTTTTTACGTCTTACTTGTCTTCCCTCTTCATTGGAAAACTCCAGAAATAGAATAAGATCTTCTAAAACGATGTTTAATCATTTAAAATATTTGACTATTTCATAAATTTCGGCCCCAAAAAAAATTAACAACTGTATTTCATAAATTTATTAAACTTATGTTTCTTTCTTACAAATCGAGATAACCTGAATTTTAATTCCTTGCTTCATGTCTAAACATCAAAAGCCAACAATCAACCCCATAATTTTCCAAGTTTGAGAGTTTAAAACATGATTTATTACGCACATCATATTCATGCATAAAACATTGATTATAGAACCCTCATACTGTGAACACCCATGGAATATAACGATAGTGAATGCGATGATGATTACAGAGCATTCGTTTAGTAGTACTACTTCTGGTCCTTAATATAAGACCCCATTTGATTTTTATTTTGGTCCTAAATATAAGACCCCGATCTATTTTGTCTCTCATATTTACTCAATTTTTTTCAAGATAATCCTTCTAATAATTATAGTTCTAGTTAATACACTTGATTAGCAAGGATATTTTAGGAAAGACAACATCTATTTAGGATAAATAACTAACTCAACTTACTTCTTTAATCTCCTCAAATTAGTCAACTGGATTTTATAATTAGGACCAGAGGTAATATATTATTAGAAAATCATGGAATGAAATTATATTTTTTTAAAATAAAATAAATGTGAAATGATTTTTTAACTCTATTAAGGGCAGCAATGGAGGGTATAAATATCTAAATATTGATTCAAAGAGAATATAAACATCTACATGCTAGTTCATGGAATTCAACCAACAGTTTTTAATGTAAGAGCTAAATAATTAATTTGAATACATCAAAAAAATAGTTAAATTAGTTAATTATAATAAATATGTGTTAACTTTTCTAAAATCTAAACTATCTTTTCAAATGAGGTGCATTGAAATTATCCCTTTGTAGGAACTTCTTACAATCAATACAAATATCTTAAATAAAATATTATAAATTTGAGAGATAAAATAAATTGAGATATTATATTTAAAATTAAATTAAATTTTTAACTAGTTATTATGTTAAGAACTGGAGATTGTATTAGAAATTGAATGTCATGCCACCTTTTGCAATACTACCCAACTTGATCTGAATTAGTCTAAGGAGGTGATTGGATGGAATCAAAACTATAGTTTTAAAAATGCTTTTACAATATACGAAATAAATATATAAAAAAGTTTATCTCGATTTATGAAAAAATACTTCTGAAAAGCACTTTTTAAGGTGCCCAAACACCCCCTTAATAGTCTGTATGGCAAAATAAAAAAGTGCTTTTTGGACCCAACACGTGGTTTTGGCTAGATATTTGCCAAACAATTGGGAAAATGATCAAATCGTGATTTGGGCCAAAATCAAGGCTTTTGGAGTCCAAAACTATGGTTTCCAAAAAAGCAAAATGAATTTGCTTTTGGGCAAAATTTTGAGGACTGTTGTGTGATGATTATGGCTGTCGGAGAATATATGACAAAAAACCCCATATTCAATTATTCAATTATAAGCTTCCTTCTGCCTTCGATGCTTCGATCCTTTAGAAGTGCTTTAATAATATATTATTCAATTAATAATATATGACAAAATAATCATTTTTCTATAAACATATTTAATCTTATATTTTATAAATATATACACATTAATTATTTATTAATTAAATTTTCTTATATATTAGTAATTATATTGGTAAAAAATATATTATTAACAAATTTATTTCTTCAAATTAAAATATATTATAAAATTTATATTTTATATAATTATCATATTAACTTACACTCTTTTTAGCAATTTGCACATATAAAAAGTGTTTCTGATAACAACTTTTTAAACAGTTTCACTTTATTAGAATTACTTTTTTATAAAATCTATTCTCAAAAATAACTTTTTTTCAGAAGGTATTTTTAAAACCATGATTTGACTAGATCATATCGAAGTTGCGGAGGCCCATGATGTTAGGTAGTATTAAAAAAATAATAGAGAGAAAGTTAAATGTTTGAAAACGACAGATATCAAAATTGGGCTCCTTCATTTCATTAGGTCTTTAAAATTTGGCTGGTAAAAAAAAAGGTCTTTAAAACTTGATGATGACAAGCCCGTGGGCCCAGAAGCAAGCTTACCGCTCTACAGCCGAGTAGGGTTCGAGCAGGCATCCAGATTAGATTCGATTCTGCTAGAAGACGTTCGCTTGCTCGCTCACTAGCACCAGTCGAGAGAAAGAGAGGAGAAAGCTTCAAGCTTCAATGGCCGCCAAGGGTGCTTTGCAGCCTCTATTGAAATATTTGAGGGTGCCGGTGCAGCCTCTGCGTCAAAATATCTTCTCGCTTTCCCCTCACGTGTTTCGACGCTTTTCCTCCGAGGAGGTTAGAGGTTCCTTTCTCGACAAGTCGGAGGTCACCGATCGCGTCATCTCCGTCGTCAAAAACTTTCAGAAGGTTGACCCTTCCAAGGTACACTGTTCTCGCGGTCATACATTACTTTTGTTGGGTATTTGGCACCAGCGAGAACGGATGACAGAACCCTTTTTTTATTTAATTTGTTTTTTTAAAAAAAGATGGCGTGGTGGTTGGAACCTAGATTTTCTTGCCATTTATTGGAGCCCTCAAGACATACTTCATGGGACTTATGGGAACTTTGATTTGCTTCTGAGTGATTCAAATCAGTGAAAGAAGTGCAAGGGGGCTGGGGTGGGGGACGAGTCGACCAAGTAGTCCTGGAAATTGAATTTGTAGCTCGCCATTACTAGCTGTTCATTATTGTCTTAGCTAATGTCAAACATGAAAATGGTTCACACATTAGATTTTGCGGCTGCATTTTCTTAATTGATCTAAATTTATATTGACATGCCCTGTATGCTCTATGCTAGGAAATTTTATCTTGGAACTCTAGTCTAATACCTTGCAACTGGGTAATAATTCTTTATATACAAGCGGGAATGATGGCAAACAAACATATCTCCCACAATGTTGGAAAATATGAGACTTAATTGGATGGTATTGTTGTGCTTAAGTCCGACTCCTTGGTATTTTTGAGCGTGAAGAAGGAGGTATAATTTGGATTATATTGAGTAATAGCTCCTAGATTTCCAGCTAAATTTTCACAGTTCCACCTTTGAGAAAATTATTTCTTTCATACTATTTTTAATTCTGGGATGCAACTTACTATCCAATGAGGTTAAGGAGATCAAACACGGGCATTTACGTAGTTTATATTTTGAGATGATTTGCATGCGGCTTATTATTTGTCAAAATTGAGATTTTGATGACTGACTTCGAACGCAACTCCCATGACAATTTGGATTGCACCGACTATTCACGGATAGGTTATTTTATATTTTATTAAAGCTTTGCAGTCAGGACAATGGATAATTCTACGGAGACAAACAGTTTGTTTCTCAAGATTTGGAATGTACAAATCTGTAGGTCATGTATTTGAAGGATTTTAAATTGATGTTATTGTGCTTGTTAAGGGCAGTCCTTTTCATTATGCATTGTGGACTAATGATGTGAAAGGAGATAGGGAAGAAGGAAAGAGAGACAGTTAGAGATAGAGAGATTGGAGAGTAGAAGAGATTTAGAGAGCTAAAGAGACAAAGAGACTGGATTACTTCACTGAGATTACACAAAAACTGAGACACAGAGATGTTGGGGACTTATTTATAGCCTATTGCCCCTTGTTGCACCAACGGTCACTAAAAACCTGTTACTTATCCATTTATTATTTTATTTACATAACTTATATATGCATTATGGCTCCTAATGAAACCAAAAAAAAAAAAAATCATGCTAAGCCGAGCGAAGTATTTGATTTGAGTTCCATTGAAAAAGATGTGCTTTCTGGCACATTGCATTGAATTTGAGAAATGAACCACATTGGTTATGACTGGTGCTGCAAGTTTTTTTTCCATTTGTGTATCTATATCAACATGTTGATGTCTGTTTTTGCGATTATTCTTCTTTTATCCTGCCTGCACCCAATTCTACGGCTCTGCTTTGGATGGATTGTTCAATTGTTAATCAATATAAAATATAAAAAGTATAGAGAGCTGTATTCCCGACAAACTTTGAAAAGTGTAGTTCATATCAGGCTTTGTGCAAATTCTATCTTGTTTTTCTTAATTTGAGATTTCAATCTTGAATTTTGTCAGGTTAATCCAAATGCTCATTTCCAAAATGATCTTGGCTTGGATAGCTTAGATGCTGTGGAGATTGTGATGGCTCTTGAAGAAGAGTTTGGTTTTGAGATTCCTGACAACGAAGCAGACAAGATCAACTCCATTAATCTTGCCGTGGACTTTATTGCATCCCATCCTCAGGCAAAGTAAGGAAAAATCTATGAAGATTGGTGTCTTAATTTTGCGGTAGTTTCATGAGGAACTCTATGAGAACATCAAACTTAAGTGTATCTTAATTTTCATTTAGATTCCGTATAGAAATGTTATATGGGGATGTGCCAATGTTAATGCTGCTATATTTCTCAAACGGGGATTCGTTTGAGAAATAATAAGGGCTGATTGGACTAGAAATGATTTGAAAATAAATTTTTTTGGTTCTTAATCATGTTTCGCAATTAGAAGAATAAAAATTTTCTTTGGGTGGGGGAAAGATAGGTTTGAAGCCTAAATTGTCAAAGGAGAAGAACCCTAACTAGAGCCTATGGAAAAGGAAAGGAGATAGACTTTGAATTTCTGGGAAACTTGCAAGTGAGGGAATCTCCAAAGGTCATAAAATCAGAGGTTGAAGCTTTCATGAGAAGGAGGATGTGGTTGGGAAATTAGAGCTGGACAAGAGGAGGATCTGGTGACTGGTGTAAGAAGATAGAAAGAGCTATCAAACAGGTGGGTCTGGCTCATGCGGGCTTAGCAGTTTTGCTTATATAGTGTTAGTCATTCCTAAACTTGGTCATAATTGATCGGGTTTACGGCTAGACCCGAAAGCTTGAATGATTTTTTTTTTTTTAATTTCACTTTCACATTATCACAATTGATATCCGAACCAGAGAACCGAAAATAAATGTTCTTAAAAGTGCAAATATCATAATATAAATCCAAACTCTGAAGGACTGAATAAAAAGTTATAAAGTCCAAAATGAATAATACCAATCCAAGCTTTCGAGAATGTAATATAATTTTTCAATCTAAATTGTGTTAAAATTAGTCTCTTTCATTAAATCCAACTCCTATTGCAAATAGAAACTTAAATATTCCTTAATCTTCATTTTCATCATGGGAACAAAAATGTTGACCCTTCAAAAGTAGGGTTGAATCAGCCAACTTAATAAATTAATGCTAAAAACAAAAAAAGCAAAAAGGAAAACACAGAGAAAGAAAGAAGGGGCTTTCAGGCCAGCCCAACTCAACTGATATTTCACCAAACCTCCAAGCCGAAGTGCAAAAGCTCTTCTTCCTATAATTTTCCCCATTTCTCAAGTCCGGGCTATATTATAAATATATATATATATATATATATAAATACACACACATAAATGTGTGTGTGTGTGTCAACGGCATTTTTTTTTTTGGCCGGCAAATTATCCCTATTGGCAACACCACCCATCATATTTGGATAGAGTCCTAAACTTGAGTTTAATGTTGATCTGTTTGTATGCATGTTTGTAGAATAAGATGTGGGAAAAATGAGCCCCAACTCAAATATTTGACTCTAAAGTTGGTTCTATCATTCTTTCATGTTAAACTAGATTCAATGATACTACACAATTGACCTCCAAACCCCATTGGTTCAAGTGATCCTAAACAGGGCCCTAAATTTGGTGTGGTCAAACTAGAGCTTCTGCATCCGTCATCTATCAGTTGTGTAGTGTTAGAAGCCCTTGATTCTCTCCCTGATTCTCTCCCTTTATTCTCTCCATTAATTACCCATGATTCTAGCTAGACAATAAATTCCTGATTACTTGTGATATTGCAATATCTTTCATTTATTACTGATTGATTGTAACCGGTAGTATGAGACTCTATATATTGTACCCAAATCATATGAAATAATATGGTAGAGTGAATTTTCAATACTCTTTAAGCATGGTATCAGAGCGTGTGAGCTTGGAAAGGGTCCTGGAGAGTCTGCCGTGAGCCAGAGAGAGAGAGACGGCGAGGAGAGAGAGAGAGAGTGAGTGAGACGTCCCTGAAACTGGAACCAGAAGTGGTCCGTGGACGACACCACCCCTCCAGGCCTCACCGGCGTCCCCAGATCGGCGCGTCCCCAGAAGCCGACGTCCAACGGAGCTGCGCGTGACCCTCACGCGCCGTTACAAGCTCCGCGCGTGAATCCCACGCGCCGCCACGCCCCGCCACTGTACCAGCGCGTGCCGCCCACGCGCCGCCGCCAGAGACCTCCAGTACCTCCCAGAGACCCAGAAGATGGATAACCCAGAATTCCCACCACTTTTTGGGTCTGTTCGCAATATTCCAAGGGTTCTCATGTCCGGTACATCTTCAAATACTCAAGCTACTCTTCTCCTTCTTCACCGGTGGTTACTCCTTCTTCAGATCTGACAGTAGCCGCTGAACCTCAAGCTATGGGGGTAGCCCACAAACTTAATGGAAGCAATTATCTCCAATGGTCTCAAAGTGTATTAATGTATCTGCGTGGGAAGCGTAAGGAGAAGTATATCAATGGAGAAGCAACACAACCTTCGCATAATGATCCCAAATTTGATACCTGGTTCGCTGAAAATAATCAGGTGATGTCTTGGTTGTGCAATTCAATGACTCTCGAAATCAGTGAAGGATACCTTCTTGCAAGTACAGCCAAGGAAATCTGGGATGCTGCTAAGCGGACCTACTCTACCCTCGATAACACTGCAGCCTTATTAGATCTAAAGAGGCAGCTCAAAGATCTGAAACAAGGCAACTTAACTGTGACTCAATACTACAGTACGTTGACAAAGATATGGCAGCAATTGGACCTCTTTGAAGTACATCCTTGGAAGGATATGGATGATGCTAATTACTACAGACAATTGGTGGAAAGAGGACGAACATATGACTTTCTGTTGGGCCTGAATGATGTTTTTGAAGAAGTGAGAGGGAGAATTATGGGACTGAAGCCGCTGCCATCCCTATTTGAAGTTTCAGTATGGTTAAGTTCGAAGAAAGCCGAAGACACCTCACTCAAAGCAGCCTGACCGCAGCAGAGGGCTCGGCATTGGTGACGAGGGGGTTCCAGACATCAGAGGGCCCTGAGAAGAAAGGGAACAAGTGGTGCAACCACTGTAACAAGAGAGGCCACACCAGAGATGAATGCTGGAAACTACATGGGAAACCAACTCAAGGGAAACAGAAACAACGGGAAGATAGAAGGAGCCACCACACCTCCTCTGAAGAAAAAGGTGATGATGGAGACCAATTGACCAGAGAAGAGCTTCAAATGCTTCGTAAGATACTTGAAAAACAAAACAAATCAAAATCTGTTCCCAACGTGAACTTGATACAGTCAGGTAATTCCATTATAGCCCTCAATGCAATGATAACTAGTGATGAGACTTGGATTGTTGACTCCGGTGCTACAGATCACATGACTGGTAATAAGTCCTTCTTCAAAACCCTCAAATATTGCCATGAGAACCTTAGAGTAAAAGTGGCAACTGGACTGTATACTAAAGTTGAGGGTGTTGGCAGTGTGGCTCTATCTGAAGATCTGGAAATCCATAATGTTTTGTTTGTCCCTGCTCTTACTTGCAATCTTATTTCTGTGAGCAAATTAACTAAAGGGAAAGCATGTCGGGTGATATTTGATGATGTTAAATGTGTTTTTCAGGATTCGACCTCGGGGAGGAAGATTTTGACTGCTAAAGAATGGGATGGACTCTACTACTTTGAAGGAAAGGATATGAAGACAGCAGGAGCAAAGAAAGCTATGGTTAGCTCCAACTCTCAGAATAAAAATGTAATGTTGTGGCATCAAAGATTAGGCCACCCCAGCTTTGATTATATGAAGCATGTGTTTCCAACTTTATTCAATAAAAATTCTTCTCCTTTCCAATGTGAAACGTGTCAAATTGCTAAACAAACTCGCGCCTCTTATCCCAAACATACTTACAAACCTTCTACCCCGTTCACAATGATCCATACCGACATTTGGGGACCAGCCAAAACCAACACCCGAACAGGCACAAAGTGGTTTATCACATTCATAGATGATCACACCCGGGTCACATGGGTTTACCTTATGAAAGAGAAATCCGAAGCCCTACAAATTTTCAAAAACTTTTACTCGTTTGTGAGAACCCAATTCCAAACTACCATCAAAGTCCTGAGAAGTGACAATGCCAAAGAGTATGTGAGTGGAGCCTTTAGGGAATTTCTTGAGCAGGAGGGAATCCATCACCAAACCTCATGTGTTTATACTCCTCAACAAAATGGAGTTGCTGAGCGAAAGAATAGACACCTTTTGGAAGTGACCCGAGCTATTATGATGGAAAGAAATGTTCCAAATCTGTTTTGGGGAGATGCTGTACTAACCGCAGCCTACCTTATCAACCGCATGGCCTCTAAAATTCTCCACTTTAGTACCCCTATTCAAAAGCTCCTCGAGACTTACCCCACTTCACCTATCATCAATACCATCCCCAAAAGGTCTTTGGGTGTGTCGTCTTTGTCCATAAACATGATGGAGGCAAACTAGGTGCTAGAGCAGAAAAATGCATTTTCCTCGGGTATTCCTCCACCAAAAAGGGGTACAAGTGTTATTGTCCCACCACCAGAAAACTTATAATCTCCAAAGACACAGTCTTTTATGAGGATGATGCTTACTATCCCAAATTACCCATTCAGGGGGAGCACTATGGAGTAGAATGGCTAATTACATCCGAACCTATAACCATACCGCCTCAAGACAACATCCCTGAACCGGAAACGGAACCAAAAACCCCTACTACTACACCTTCTCCAGAACACCAAAACTCCACAAACATCCCTCACCCAATGGAAACCAATGCTGAAATTGATGCAGGGGTGACAGAGCACTCAAGTCCTCAATCAGGTGAACAGGACAGTAGTAGTAGGGTTCCTTCCATTCCAAGGCAGCAACATGATTCCAATCCGGAGTTGGATCCTGAAGAACTGGGATGGCCTATTGCACTTAGAAAGGGGGTAAGATCGTGTACTCAACATCCTATTCAAAAATTTGTCTCCTATGGCAATTTATCTGCGAGAATGCAAACTTTTGTAGTGAATAGCTCACAGGTGAAAATTCCAGAAACATTTCAACAGGCTGTAACAGATCCTAATTGGAAACATGCTGCATATGAGGAGTTGAGAGCCTTGAAGGAGAATAACACGTGGGATATCACCACACTTCCTAAAGGCAAGAAAGCAGTGGGTTGCAGGTGGATCTTCACCCCTAAATTCAATCCTGATGGCAGCATCAACAAGTACAAAGGAAGATTAGTTGCCAAAGGGTACACCCAAACCTATGGGATTGATTATCAAGAAACGTTTGCTCCTGTGGCAAAATTCAACACCATCCAGGTACTCCTGTCCCTAGCTGCCAACCTTGATTGGCCCCTACATCAACTAGATGTGAAGAATGCTTTCCTAAATGGAGATTTGGAGGAGGAAGTGTACATGGAAATTCCAGATGGAGTAATAGCTCCGCCCAACTCAGTTTGCAAATTGAAGAAATCATTATATGGCCTGAAACAATCTCCACGAGCATGGTTCGACAGGTTTGCCAAAGCAATCAAAAGGTTTGGCTACATTCAAGGACAAGCTGATCACACTCTTTTCGTCAAACACAGTGATGGAAAGGTAACGATCCTAATTGTGTATGTGGATGATATAGTCATAACTGGCAGTGATGAGGTTTCTATCTCTCACCTCAAGAAGGCCCTGGCTAGGGAATTCCAAGTGAAGGATCTAGGCCAAATGAAGTACTTTCTTGGAATGGAGGTTGCTAGATCCAAAAAGGGTATAAGTGTGTCTCAACGAAAGTACACACTGGACTTACTCCACGAAACAGGAATACTTGGGGCTAAACCCAGTGAGACTCCTATGGAAGAGTCATGCAATCTGGAAGTGAAACCAAAAGGGACACCAGTTAACTCAGAAAGGTACAGAAGACTTGTGGGCAAACTAATCTACTTGACTCATACAAGGCCTGACATTAGTTATGCAGTTGGAGTGGTAAGCCAATTTATGCATCAACCCCAGGAAGAACACATGGAAGCAGTATACAGAATCCTCACCTACCTCAAACTCAACCCTGGAAGAGGACTATTCTTTAAAAGGGGAGTACAAGGAGCATCGAGGTCTACACTGATGCAGATCATGGGAGAGCTGTGGATAACAGAAGATCTGTCACAGGATACTGTACTTATGTTTGGGGAAACTTAGTCACTTGGCGAAGCAAGAAACAGACAGTAGTCTCAAGAAGCAGTGCTGAGGCTGAGCTAAGAGCTGTAGCCCTGGGGGTATGTGAAGGAATGTGGGTGATTAGACTTCTGAAGGAATTGAGAATCTCCTATGAAGGACCTATGAATCTCTGGTGTGACAATCAAGCCAGCATTGAAATGACCAAAAATCCTGTGTATCACGACCGAACAAAGCATGTTGACATTGATCGGCACTTCATCAAAGAAAAGGTCGAGGATGGCATCATTAACTTGAACTATGTGCGTTCAACTGATCAGATTGCTGACATCATGACCAAACCGTTAGCCAGAGTCAAGTTTGAAGGGCTTCGAAGCAAGCTGGGAATGGTTGACATCTACTCTCCAGCTTGAGGGGGAGTGTTAGAAGCCCTTGATTCTCTCCCTGATTCTCTCCCTTTATTCTCTCCATTAATTACCCATGATTCTAGCTAGACAATAAATTCCTGATTACTTGTGATATTGCAATATCTTTCATTTATTACTGATTGATTGTAACCGGTAGTATGAGACTCTATATATTGTACCCAAATCATATGAAATAATATGGTAGAGTGAATTTTCAATACTCTTTAAGCATGTAGTATCATTGAATCAAATCAAAATAATCATGGCTTTCAAAAATTTGCATTCCAGACTAAATTTCATCCAAAAATATTTTATTTTTTAAAATATGGAACATTAAAGGTTAAAATTTTTTTGAGGAATTGCATCTCATTCTCAAAAAACTTGAGTCCAAATAAAAATTAAATTAATATACTGATCCAAAGCGTCATCATCTCCTAGAATAAGAAACAAAAATCCTTATCGTTAGTACTTGTACACACACACACACGTCCAACAAACAATTTGGTTAAATTATTAATCTGCCATAATTAATAAAGCTTCAATTTCCGGCTGTCTTAAAAAAAAAATAAACTAAACAGTTGACCAAGGCAAGCCAAAGGAAAATTTTATGTAGCTTTCATGGTACAATGAGTCAAAGATTAACAAAAACAAAAGGTTAACCTACAAAATTAGATTGTGACTTTTTAATTTGCACCAAACCAAAGTTGAATATTGTTGTTTAATTCCTTATAGATAATATGTTTTTTAGTGATTTTATATTGCATATAAATATGGATTGTGAGGTAAAAGAATTTTGTCATTCCTTTTTTTTAATAGAATATGATTTGTTTTAATTTAAATGATAGATATTCAGTTTGAATAACTTTAATTTTAATTAAAAAGTGTTTTATTATTAATTTAAAATAATAGTTCATATTAGATTGGAATGACTTAAATTTAAAAGCTATTGAAATGATTAAGAGAGGTGGAATGTAATATATCCCTCTGGCATGCAAATCCACTCCCACCTAAAGGAAGAAAAAGGTGATAACATGACTGTGACTAGTGGCTTGCTGCTTATATGCTAACTGATAAGAACAAACTTCAATTAATAAATCTTTAAACTTGGACTAGTTAAATCTTGAAAAAATAATTACTCTTATGCAATAAAGCTATTGTTATATTTGAAATTATTAACCATATTAAGCCTTAAGAAAACTTTATGCATGATTACACAATTTGCGAATTGGGAAGATTCACAAATCTGTTACCATGTAATCCTATTTAGAGATAAAACTTATCATTGTATCTATCTTTCTTTTATTTATTTATTTTAGAGTTAAAATGTAAATTTGTTATGAAAGTTTTCACTTAGAAGTACTAGGTATCTAAAAGTCTTTTTGGGTGCATGTTTGTCTCTAAAATTTAAA